TCTCCCAGTCTTTGTCATATACCTCATTAACCTAATTTTTGTTTGTTTGTTTTCTTATTTTTTTTTTTTTGAGGATATGTGTGTCCTGGAGGATTTAACCCTGGCCAGGCCTTATCTGCTCTAGAATGTAATCTACCAGAAAGCTACATCCCCATCCCCAGACTGCTTCCCCCCATAATATAAACATTTAATATTAAACTACAGAGTTTATATTTATTATCTGCAAATATATAAGCAGACAGCTAATTCATCCGTCACATAGTTTATGTGCCTACAGTTGATTTACAAAATGGTAATTTTTGCTGCAGAAGACTTTTGTCCTAACAAAATCCTGAGAAAAATACACATCAGTCAAGGGTGCTATTACCGGCAAGGTTGGCAGCTTGAACTGTTGAATTTCTCTGTTTTAGGTCAAATTCTGCTGGTACAGAAATGACAGCATTGGCAACTGGCATTCCAAGGTATTCCTCTGCCATTTCCTTCAGTTTCAGCAATAATCGAGACCCAACATATTCTGGAGAAACGATGATGGTTTCATTACTTGTTACAGAAAACTCAGCCATTCCATTTTTGTGTAAAACCTGTGAATGAGATTTGAAAAACAAGAACGTCAAGATATACATGTATACACATACATGCATTTACTTTCACATGTACATACTGGATTTATTCAACAAAAACCTTTATGAAGTCATACAATCCACTAGAATCTATCCAGTACGTTTTTCCAGATTAGCGTTTCCTGATTGTTGACACTTAAAACTTTATAAAATAAATCCATGTTATGGCTTTCAGTAATAACCAAATGAAAGTCAAGAATTTAACAGGAATCTAGAATCCTTTCACTACATACTTATTGGAAGAATGAATGATGACATGCAGGAGACTCGCTTTATTGGGAGCTGAATGTTTCAAGACCCTCAGTGGAAACCTTTTCACTTAGCCAAAGCACTGTACAGCTTCTCATCAACATATTCAAATAGCTGTTATCACTAATACTGCACTTGGGGCCATTACTTGGTTAAAAAAAAAAATCTCAACAAAAACATTGCAACACCTGATAACCAGGACAGCCGCTAAGTGAGTAAAGGCCAGACAAAATGTGCAATGAACAGGTGAATGATACGCAGTCTGGGTGAGGGTGAAAAGAGCAGAGCAAGAGTTCATCACACTCCTCTTAAACAATGTACAGACTGGTGATTCGGGGATAGTGTATTTTGTATTCTTACCTAGTCACTGAGGACAGCAAATTAAAACCACAGGGAAGAAAACTATAGGAGGCAGAGCCACAAAGGAGGTGAGAATTTACTCAGTCAGCTGTGATGATGATGTAACTGTGCAGGGAGTCTAATCCATTTGGAATAGCACTTCATAATTGGGAATAAAAGTCCCCCACGGGATAAACGAAAACAAATTAAATGTTAAAGAGAAACCACTTACAAATAAATACATAAAAGCATTAAGATGGAAAAGCAAAAGAACAAAAAATGATCAAACCAGTGAACCAATAGAAAGGATGAAGGTTCCTACTGATTACCATAAGAATCAAGGCCATTCTTCTAAAGTTGAGATTTCATGAATGCCTAATACTTTGACAAGAAACAACAAATTATGCAACACAAAGACAATAAAGTGAAAAAAAACCACATAAACATATTTTAGACGGGTGGTGGTAGCACACACCTTTAATCCCAGCACTTGGGAGGCAGAGGCAGGTGGATCTTTGTGAGTTCAAGGCCAGCCTGGGCTACCAAGTGAATTCCAGGAAAGGCGCAAAGCTACACAGAGAAACCCTGTCTCGAAAAACAAAACAAAACAAAACAAAAAACAAAAACATATTTTATTGTCAAAGAAAAATAAAACAGGACAAAAAAGAAGAAATGCATCGTTAAATAAAATAAAAATACAGGAGGCAGAAGCAGGAAGATCTGCGAGTTCTAGGCCAGACAAGTCTACTAATTGAGATCCTGCTTCAAAAGCAAAAACAACAATAACAAACAAAACACCAGTAAATATAACTTTGCTGGAAAGCAAAGGAGTAACAGTCAATCCAAAATGCCATTTTTCATTTGAGGATTGGCAAACAAAACAAACTGGACATGGTGGCACAGGTCTATGGTCTCAAAAGGGTGAGGCTTCCAGGTTCAACAACAGCCTGGGTACATAGCAAGACCTACCTCAAAAAGTAAATAATGTCATACTACCTACTCGATAAAAAATAATGGGTAAGAGCATGTAATCTTTCTGGTGTACAATTAAGGAATATGAATAAAATTCTTTAAACATACATACATACACACACACACACACACACACACACACACACACACACACACACACACATATCCAACTCATCAATTCTACATGGCAGACAATTTCTGACTTACACAGGTATATCTATATCTTTATCTATCTATATACATATATATCTTACGGAACTTCAAAAGTTAGTATGATACCAGGAAAGTAAGATAATGTAAGAGATATTGATGAATTAGATCAATTATGTAAGAAAGTAGTAGTTCCACAGTCATTAAAAATAGTGAGGTGCATCCCCTTAATGTCTATGACACACTGTTGCATTTCAAATATGCCAGAAAACACCAAAACAAGTGTACATAGTTATATGTATACAAATATGTACATAGATAGAAAATTTCCATTCACAACCTAGGAGGGTTCCTCATCCTTCCTAAAATATCTTGAAAGAACAAACAGGTTATTAGGAGGATGGCAGAACAGGCACACATCGAGGCCCACTTCCTTAACTGGGACGTTACTGAGTTTATTCACCCTGCAGCTGCTGTGAAATTTCTTAGTGAGGGAATACAACTCCCTTACAGTTAAATACAGTTGAGATACAATGATGTGCAATGTGCAGCCAAAGCATTAACAGAAATCATATGATACACTGACACAGAGTTTAGATTAAATATGTCATACCTTAAATGGATATCTGCCAATTTCAGCCTCCAACTCTTCCGGGGTGAAAATCTTCCCTATAAACCTTTTAGCATCATATATTGTGTTTTGAGGGTTTGAATCTGCCAGTTCCAGGCTCTCATAGCCCACATGCACATCGCCATCAGTAAAGGATACCATGCTGGGTATGCTGATATGCCCATTTTCATCGGGAATCACCTTTACTTTTCCTGTCCCAGGAAAAAAGACACCAACGGAACAATAGGTGGTACCCAGGTCAATGCCAATCACTTTTGGAGTGGGCAATGGTAAATACTGTTGTGCCAAGTAGCCAGCCAAGAGGAGAGTCAACACAGCTGAACCTGAAAACAGACCAAGTCAAAGACACATCTTTATCGAGCTACTACTATGTGCCATTCCTACAGCAACATCTCTTCAATAACACTCCTGAAGCAAACAAAATATTTTACTTTATAGGACTAATAACTACTTTTTTAAATATTAAGTCACACATATTTCAATGGGTTATAATTAAAAATAAAAATAAAAACAATCAAAAGCCCCCACAACTGTATTTCTGTGTATTTCATTGTATGAGAATAAAGGAATAAAATGTAAAGGTATTTCAGTAATAATTAGGCTGTTGCTGAATGGAAATATAAATATGAAGCAAAAGCTGGCCACAATCCACTTTTCTTGACCTATTGCTATTTAGATTGATAGCTTCATAAACAGTTTTATCTGTCATTACTAAAATGAAATTCCATTATGAAATTCTCACAGCAAAAGTTTTGGTATTGTAAGGTTAACCTCTTTGATTATCATCTTTATCCACTGAAAAGGATAAAATAAATAAGTTGGATGCACTGATTTTTTAAATTGCTTAGGTATTACTGTTACCTCCTAACAGAGCTCACTGAGTGCTTTGCATATTTAAGTATGAATTAAGGTCATATTTCTCAAAGAGGTAGTAATTAGGAAAGTATATAAGTGCTAACCCTGAGAGCAACAACATGGAAGTTTCCTTAAGACAAGTTTGTTCACAAGTTTGTGTGTTCCACGGCAAGAGCAGAGGCTCAGCAAATATCAATTAACAAACAAACAAAAGATCCAATACAAACGTCATGCATATTGTACCCCAAAGCCAGTAAGGGCATCGCTTTGAATTCGGAATTAATGTCTTACTCGGTTTCACTAGTCTGTGTTATACATCCATTTCCACTCAGTCTCATGCTAAGAATCCAGAATGTCAGTCTGTAGTGCTTGCTGTTGGCAATTGCGAGCTCAGTTCAAAGCAACGCCTGGCTCATAGCAGATCAAGAGCCTACCCACTTGTCTCTTCTAACCTACAGACAAATCTTCAAAGCATTTCACCACCACTAGCAAGGGAATGCAATCCCCAAACGGTTAAGTTCGAAAGAGAATCCAGCTACACGGCACAAGGACCAGAATCCCCTCCCAATTCATCATCCCCGAGTGCAGCCCAAGAGTCTACATCTCCAGATCCGCACCCCCCTCTCAATCCACGACGGGTTCTCGCAGCCTCCAGAGAACCGAATCCAGCTACTAATTCAAGACGGAGGTCTTTTGCAAAGAACTCATTCCGAGGCCCGGGTCCCTCAGAGATGAGGCCGGCGGCAGAACCCCCAAGAGGCCTCCATCAGCCAGACCCCCGGTTCCAGGCGCCCCGCCCCCACCAGCTCAAACAGCCTCAGCCGCCTTTTCAGGTTCCCTTCGGCGGCGTGACCTGGGTTCAGGAGTTGAGACAACCACCCCCCCGTGCCCATCCAGACCTCCTCAAACCAACCCTTCGACTGCCATGGCAGCAGGGACCCCGGGATACAAACCTAAAATCGTCATCTCTCCGGCCATCAGTCCCGCCGAACGAGCAGAGAGATGACTGTACCGACGGGAGGCACCGCCCCCTACCCACCGGCCGTCCCGCAGCCTCCTGGGAAGTGTAGTCCGTCCAGTCCGAGGCAGACGGAGGAACTACGGCTCCCATCACATCAGGGACTCCATCTACCACGAGGCCGCGGGGTGGAGTCTTCGCAGGCCCGTGAGGAAATAGTCGGCCTCTCCACTCACGAAGGCCCAACAAACCAGGCTTCGTTGGGGAGCCGCCTCCGGGAAAGGTCAGAGTTTGTCATTCATTAAACCCCAAACGCCGCGAGCCTACTGGCCTTACAGCAGTTCCCGTAGCCCCGCCTCGCCGCGTTGTATTGTGGGAGCTGTAGTTCTGGACTGCCCAGGGTTTGGAAGGAGTAAGAAGGAAGACCTGTTAAGAATCTGAGGTGGGTTGCCTTGCCAGCCTGGCGCGGGATTCAAACCTCAAGTTTTTTTCGTTCCGCCTCCGTTTACGGTTTATTCCTTTGCTCGCAATCGAGATTCTAGATAGCGTTCTCGTAAGCCCTCCAAAGTCCCCTTAGTAGTCCTAGAAGAGGCTCTGTAGTGATGCAGTCCTACAGGACTGTCTGGTATACCTGCTCTTTGCACTGTGATTCCCAGGAGAGATTGACCTGTTGTCAAGTGGAACTTCTTGAATCGCATCTAAGACAGAAACAGATTTAAGCCTCTAGGACCGTAGGTGTTCATGAACTTTCCCAATATTAACAGTAAACTCATTTTCAGAAAGTCATTAGATCATATCAAATATTTAGACATACCAGTCTTAATATCATCGCCAGCTGGGTGCTGTTGTTGACAGTAAATTAATTCAAGTGATGTTCAGGAATGAGGTTTATCCAACACTGCAAGGGCACATTTTTTAATCGAATACTAACATTCAAATATACTGTTAAAAACAAATATGAAACAACCCTACTTCTACTAACTATATCATAAATGGCCAGAATTGTCTTCCTGGACAGGTCCTATCACATGTGCTAACTAATCATATTAGTTACTTTTCTCCTTGCTGCTATGACATACGTTATCAAATCAATTTGAAGAAGGCAGAAGGATTTATTTCGGCTCAAAGTTAAAGGATACAGTTCATCATATTGAGGAAGTCATGGTAGCAGGACCTTCAGCCTTCACATTGTATCCAGAGTCAGAAAGCAGAGTGAGGAAATGTTTCCATGATGATTCTGAATCCTATCAAGTTGAAAAGAGTAACCACAACTATTGAGGTACTTGTGCCTTTTAGTGTATAAAACCTGATTTTCACTGTCTAATATTTTATATACTCTAATGACTTTCTGAAAATGATTTTACTATTAATATTGGAAAAGTTCATGAACACTTAAGGTCCTAGAAGCGTAAATGAGGTCCTAGAGGTGTAAATATCTTTCTGTCTTAGATGCAATTCAAGAAGTTCCACTTGAACAGGTCAACCTGTTGTGAGAATAAGCCTCTACTGGCATTCTGCTTGTGTAAAATCTCCTGTTTATCTCTCTGTTACCGGTCTAGCTATCCCCCTGTTTTATCATAATTTGGTCGGTTTGTCTGTCTATCTTTCTATCTATCTATCTATCTATCTATCTATCTATCTATCTATCTATCTATCTATCTATAATCTAAATAGACATTATCACATATACATATATTATGGTTTTAAGTCTGAATTATGGCTAACAGAGATCCCTTATAAAACACTTTTGTATTTTTAAATACTTCGTTATGTGAAATATGAAACACATGAATTTATAAGTACTATTCACCAAAATTCTTATGAAGAAAGCATAATTCAAACATCAAATTGATGATTTTTATGGGTAATGATAGTTTGACAGGTAAGTTTCCTTATTGGGACTTTCCCTTTATATTTTTGATTAACTTTAATAAATTTGTCTCTATTGTATATATACTATAAATTGATAGTTGAACAGGGATGGTTTTTCTAATTGATTTTTCCTTTGATTATGTATTTTTATATTAATGAGGATAAAATAAGTTGAATTTCTCATACTAAGTACCTGAGAATGTGAATTTATTTGCAAGTGGGGTTGTGGAACAAGTAATTAGATATTATGATATAGTTGTCCCTTTAATATTAGTGTCCTCTTTAAAAGAAAATGGCTAAGACATAGGTACAAAAGATTTCATATAATAACCAATGGCATTAAGCATTGAGTGGCTCATGCCTACGTAACAGTAGAAATGAGGAAGAAAGAATGATCCTATGGGCTTCAGAAGGACCTGAGGCACTGGTGGCATTGACTTTACACTTTTTCTTTATAGTTCTGCAATGATAAACTTCTCTTATCTTAAACCATATAATTCTGGGCCCTTTATTATAGTAAATCCAGAACAATCTACATGATCTAAAAGGAAAATATTTCAATTACAGTAACCTGTCCTGGTGAGTAGAGTCGCAGCTGTTCACTCAAGGTCTCTAGGAAGTGCATATAGGAAATGGTCATATTGACTCATGGATGAAGATATAACCTTCCAGTTATTGCCATGATGAGAATAAATGATATTGCTTTCACTCAAGGATGGACAAAAAGAACAGAATATATGGAACAAGTTTCTGACGTTGGAAAATAGGTAGAAAATGACATTGATGTCTACATTACCTGACTAGAGGATTTGTTCATTTTCCCCTTATTTGGTGAAGTAAGAGTCACAGTTTGCCTCCTCCATTCTGCATGCTACTCTGAGACTGAAATGTCTACGTTATCTTCTTTCTTTCTTATTGGAATTGATTGACTACTGTAATGAAAAGGCTTTTAAGAACACTTCAAGAGTAGAATAGCTACCACAATTAATTAACAGTGCCTGCAATGGGATTGGATAGGAAATGTGGCACACCTACTATTCCTGTGTTTAACTGCATTATTTCTTTACTAGTTATAGAGCATGCCCAAGTTAAAGGAGAAAGTAGACTTATAAATACAGTTGTTTTGTTTTCTATTGTGTGATCATTTCCTAGAGTATGACTAACTTCATAGTAAATGTTTAATATAGTCACAAAAGGAATGAATAGAAATAGTAAACACAAATAAAAGGGTTTACATATAAAAGCATGTTAAGTGAGATCTTTAAGTGTCTGAGTGATGGCTAATTATAGATTACAACAGGATCTAGCATATTTAAGTATTTCCACAGCATGCCCTACTTGCAGATTAGATGCTTTTAAATGAGTGATTGAAGGGATGTGTGTTGATAGAGACCATCATAAATGTTTCTAAAAGAGATTTTTATATCTATTGTATGTGCTTTTTCTAATTACCTGTGTTTTCAGACACCATATTACTTCAGTATCAAAATTATATAAGTGTATGCAAACAAAATGCTTATAATATAAAGATAGCTAAAGTTGTTCTTCCATTTTATGTATGACAGCTGCTTCAAAGAAACACTTATTTTGTAAAAAGAGACCTTTTGATGTGATGTTAGGTTATGATTTACATACAATTCTTGTGGGATGCATTATTATACTGGAGGCTGAACCTAGGACCTCATTCATGCTAGGTGAATATTCTAGCACTGAGCTACAACTATCCAGCTCTACTAGATTTGTTAAAGAAAATATTTTATTCTTTTTGAGTTATTTTTACTGTAGCAGGAAAGAGAAATGTAATTGTTAGTGAGTTGATTTCAATATAAGTAAACTACCTTTAACACTACATATTTATTTATTTCATTACACTTAAATTTAATATTTATATTAAAATATATAATATAATAGTGTTATATCATATATAGATGCTAATAAAAGTAATTGTATTTTTCCTAGAACTTACCTTCAGCAATATTCCAGAGATGATAAGTTTATTTCAATGCTGTCTACTTGAAGAATTTCAAGTATTAGTAATGAGTTGTATTATTCATGAAGATGATGAGCTCAGAGTACCTAGTAAACTAGACTGATGCCATAGATTTATTCTTTTTTTAGTGTGGATTTTTTTCTTCTAAATTTTAGGACAGCTGAAAACATTTATTTAGATAACATATTGCAGAAAGTTTAGACATCACAGTCAAGAAGACTCTGAAACTAACCTGCTTCCCTCTATCTTGTATTTTCTTGATTTTTTTTGTGGCACAGATATATGTAACATACCTATACAGTTTTATCAACAGTTGTGCTTATAATACATACGATACATATTTTCCTGTAGTTTGTCACACTTTTTTATGTATTTATTATGTATCTTGTTCAAATTACAGATTTAACATAAGAATATTACAATATATTGTGATATTTATCTTTAAGTTTTCAACCATCTTCTTCAATATTTGCTAATTATATTAATATTTATTGATTAGTCTTCCTTTCTTTTCAATTTAATAGCTTATTTTCGTTTTATTTCTTATAATACTTTTTGTTTGTTTGTTTTTGCTTTGTTTGTTTGGTCTTGTTTTTGAAACAGTATTTCCCACCCACTCACTCACTTGATCCTCCTACCATAGCATCCACTATAAGTGTAAACCACCACAACCAACTCCTCACTGATTATTTCTGAATTATTTTTGAGATTATAATATAATTACATCATTTCCCCTTTCCTTTTCTTCTACCTAAACTCCCCCACAAACCCCTCCTTGTTTTCTTTCAAATTCACAACCTTTTTCTTCCGTGAATTATTGTTACATATGTACATGTGCATGCATGTGTGTTCCTAAATAAATACATAACAGTATGTCCAGTCTGCATAAAATTACTTGTTATATGTTTTAATGCTACATAGGCCATATATATAATTTGCCTCTGGTGGGACAAGCCTGTAATCCTGTGTACTCAGGAATTTGAGACCAAGTTGTGCTATACAGAATAAGTTCAAAGCCATCCTACATACCTTAGCAGGATTCTATCTCAAAATAAAAAAAAAAAAAGAAAGATGCAGCACAGTGGTAAGCTGCTTGCCTCAAAAGGAGGATCCTCTAGGTTCAGTTCTTAAGGGAGAACCAAACTAACACACAAAACCACATACTTAGTCATGTAGACCTTTTCTTGATATTTGTTTCATTTGATTATTGTAGGGCAGTAACATACTGCTTTAATCAGTGGAACTTTATCATAAATACATCTGTATGGACAAAATATGCTTAGTTTTTCTTTTAACGTTTTTCTCTGATTTCATCTATTTTTCCTCATAGCTTACAGCCAGTTCATCTCCTTCCAAAGACTGTTATAATTCCTTTAAAATTTCGCGTAAAACTTGAACTTCCCGTGTTGATTAGAGGAAAATGCACATCTTTACAGTGGTGGAATGTCTGTCTGGGAAAAAGGTGTGTTTCTGCTTTAATGAGGACTTCTAAATACTTTTCTTCAATGGACATTACAGACTTTGTTACTTTTATTCCAAGGAAAACTAACACTTGGGCTGTTGTGATATAGTGTTTGTTA